GGTCACCAAGTCTGACAAACCTGACTCAAGGCACCTCGGTTCAATTCAGCAGAGTCAAATGCAGCTGGGATTGCCAGGCTTGGTTTCCCCTCCTACCCAGGCCTCCTGGGCCACCTTGGTACACACACACACACACACACACACACACGGAGTCTCATCTCCACCTTGTGCTCAAGGTCGTTCAATGGGTTTTGTGTTGTAGCAGCCTGGGGGCAGATTTTTGCGGATCTCCTCCAGATTCTCGATATCGGCCAAGATCTCACTAATACTCCTCTCCAGCATCTGGATCCGGAGTTTCTGCATGCTGGAAGTCTTCTCAAGCTCTGACAGCTGCTGCTTCAACTGGCTGCTCTTTGTCTTGGCTTTGCTGAGGTTCAGTTCAAGTGTGTTCAGAGCCTCCTCATCCACAGTGCCAGGCTGGTCTATCGCAAAGGAGGAGGAGACCATGAATAGACCCTGGGGCTGGATCGTCCTGAACACACACCCTAGGCTCACCACCCACCAGTTATAGCTACGCAGGGATCCCAACATGCTCAGCCAAATGTTCCACTCCAGCCCTTGGGAAATGTGCCAAAGGCTTGGAACAAAGGTATGTCTATACAACAAAAATGAAGGTGCAGTTACAGCACAGGTTAGATGAGCTGTGCCAGCTTTAATTCCGTCAGCACAGGGAGTGATGCCAGCACAAATGTGATGGCATGGGCTCTGCTACATGCCAGGAACACAGCATGAGTCCTAAGTCCTCCCAGGGCTTTGCAGTCTGGGTGCTGGTGATGGTCACAATGCTACTGCTGTCTGTGATAGCTACATCCTGCTAATCACACCTTCCTGCTGCAGTGCAGCCATACCCCAGCCACACCTCAGAACAGGAGGAGAAAGCTAGAGTTGGTTGCCTTACCAACCAACATGTGATGTTCTTTACAATTCACTGCATTTCTGAGGTCAGGAGCAGGCAGCAATAACTTGTGATGCGACTGATGAAGGGTGGAGAAGTGTGGGCCTAGAACTGACATCTCTGAAAGGAGCACAGGTAGGGGCAGAGAGGGTGGCCATGGGATGAAAGCACTGCACTGGGACTCTGGAGAACGGGGTCCCACTCCAGCTTGCGCATCCCTCTTCAACTCAGTTTCCTCTGGGAGTGATACCATTTCCTTTCTATCCAGACTGTGCCTTATGGCCTAAGTATGGGGCAGAAATTGCCTTATACTATGTGCCCATCCAGAGCTTGACACAGAGAAACCCTGATCTCTAGACACTGCTGTGATGCAAAGAAAAAGGAGCTGTCCCCCACTTACTTATCAGGTACAGGAGGTCTTCCAGGGAAGTCAGTGTCTCTTGGATGGCAGTTCCAGCCCCTTGGGCTCTGGCATGGGAACCCTGAGCCTCTTGGACAATCTAACAGGTACAAGAACAAGGCAATTAGTGGGCATTTCACCCAAACAGGTCCAGTCATTTTAAGGGTGAGGGTAAAAGCTCACCTCCTGGACTGTGATGGCATCAGTAGCAATCTCCTGCTCCTTCCTCAGGAACTCCCCTTCTCTTTCACTCACTGTGCGCAGCAGAGCAGCTATTTCCTTCTCCAGTGCCAGGACACTATCTGCTGTCCTGTTGGCCTCCAGCCTCACATGCTTTATCTCCTAGGAAAGCAAAGACAGCAAGAGGAGGGGAGATTTGTGAGGCCAGAGGAAAGGACCTCCCAGATTCCAGAGAGCAGCAGTGGCAACAAGCTCCTGATGGTAGAGTCCAGTAGCTTGATGTTTGAGATGCTGAGCCCCCACAGCCCCTTTTGACTTCAAGAGGCTGTTATGATCAACCCCTCTGAAAGAGAGGCCATCAGTGCACAGCCAGCAAGGCAGAAGGATACACTAGTCAATGGAAACAGGCCCGTTTGATGAGCCTACCAGGGCCAAGTTGCATCAGTGTCCTTCCCCCCCATCCCCCCAGTTGACTTGCTTTGCCTTTAAGTAGCAACAGGAGCAGGGAATGACTAGTTCTGCCTGGCAACCATGCCCCGACCCCTCAACACCTGCCTGAGATGGCTCCTCTATGCGACTCTACGTGAGACCTCGGGGTCCATCACAGTCCCTCCAACACAATCTGATTTCAGACAAACTGTTTCAATTTGCATCTGGGGCTCAGACCAGGGGAATTACCTATCAGACTATTTAAATAGCACATCCAAGGGACTGAGACCATTAATACTGACCCAGAGCTGGAAAAGATATGGGGTGAACGTATGAAGCAGTTGTTCACAAGCTTTTAGACTCAGAGCACCCTTCGGAAAATGTCAGCTCTAAGCTTTCGCTCACTTTTTAAGCATTGAAAATAATACAGCAATTCTTCTGTTGCAAAGAACTCAGAAAGCCTACCACAGGGCAGAATGTTTTTGATACTGTGAATTCCTACTTGAAATCTCTGGGTTTATTTTGCAAATCACATGTAGGTGTTTACACATCCAACAGCGCTGATATTGCACAACACCCTTAAAAGGACCTTGTGACACCCTGCTTCACTGAATTGCTGGTCTAAGGGTACTGCCTACACTGCAGCCATGCTGCCATGTCTAAAGACACAGCTACACTGTGGAGTGCAACACAGGATTGAATGAAACAGACTGTTATGGGGACAGCACCATGCCAGCTGCAGCAGCACACAGCTGATCCACCCTGCTTCTTGGCAGGGTCAGTTAACTTGCAGAGATCTGTGCTGCCTCAGCTGGATGGCAGCTGCTGACACCCACTCTCATTCATTTGCAGCCAGTGCAGGTACCTGTGCTTTGCACTTTAGGCAGCTGTGCAGAAACAGCCACTGCAAGGATGACAGCTGCTCAGCCCTCATGCCCCCTCCATTTCCATTCCCTCTTTTCGCCTACCCAGTCCCCCACCCTGTTGTTCTGATACAAGCAGCCAGGCTTCCCTTTACCTGCTGGATCCCACTGGTGATCTCCTTGGCCTCCCCCACCATGGTTCTAGCTGATTTTGCATGTGTAGCAGCATTGCCCATGGCTCGTTCTGCTCGGCCAGCCTGCTCATTGGCACCCGTGACCAGGCTGCTGATGAGTGGAAGCCTGCTCATGGCATCTTCAGCTTCTCTCCTCTTGTCATCCACCTGCAGGTTAGACTCTGACACAAAACACAAACAGCAGCTGTCAGGTCCCATAGGAAAAAAAACATTCCCTCCAGGCCAGGCTTGGGGGCCATGGACAAATGAATGGACTAATGGAAACAGAACTACTCTCATGGTCTCCAGAAGGCTGGTTCCTCCAGAACTACTTGTCCATAGAAGAACAGCTCTGGGTACAGAGAAGAGGAGGGAGAAGGGTGTTTACATTCACATGGGGCAGAAACTAATCAGACTGGGCTTGAAACAATCATTTCCTGGGAACTGGGTGGATAGGATGTTTCAGTGGAAACTGCTGTGGCATCACCAGTGAACTTGAGGGCATGTTTTCCAGATAACAGATCAGAACTAGTCATTGTTCCAGACAATAGATCAGAACAAGATTTTGCTTTAGCCACAAGAGACTTACCCCTGAGATTCTTCAGGACACGATCAACTTCAGAGAAAGTGGCATTGCCAGCACTCAGTGCTTGCTGAGCTCTGCTCTTGGCGAGGTTGGCACGGGACAGCAGCTGAATCAAAGCCTGCAGTGGACACAAGGAAAGAGCAGATCACACACAGAACCTGGGAGCACAGTCCTGTTCCTAAAGCGGGGTCCAAGCCAGTTTCCCTTCAGTAGAAAGGACCTATCTTAGTGTGCAGGCAGAAGGTCAAATCTCAGTCCCGTTTGAAGGATCAGATGAAAATCACTGAGCTGAGTGCAGGCCTGTTGCTGCACCCTCCCCAGCTTTAACACAAAGATAAGATGACAGCTTGCAGCAGAAGTCAAACTCCCGTGCCAGGGATAGAGCACAGAGGGAGTGGACAACTGAACAAATTATACTGAGATGAAAGACAGAGGATTCAGCCCATATCAGTTGATATGCGGTCATGGCCTGTGGGAGTTGAAAGCTAAACCATGGTAGTTTTGTCCCTAAATGAAGCAAGATTAACTGCTCCAGGTTAGTTTCCACTTACTGAGCGACAGAGCAGACACACAAAATGGTTACCGCAGACCAGCTGACAGGTGGTAAGCTCCTTATCTCCTTCTTTTAAGGCAGTACAATTTGTTCATCTGTCCTAACACAGAGGGGGAAGTGTTTGCAATGTATAGTACCTGGGCACTGTCTTACCACTCTCTCGCCTTCCCCTCTCTGTAACAGTTGTTTGATGTCTTCCTCCCAGCTCCTGGTGTTGCTTTGCAGCTGCCTGTATTCTGCCATGTAAGTGTCCACCAAGCCCATCAGAACATTTGCCTCCTGTCTCAGCCGGGTTGCCTCCCCCTGAGACACCAAAGAAACAAGCAATTCACTTTATGCACTGGTGATGGGACTTTTGCTAAGGCTGTAGCCCACCAGCAGGAGTAAGAACAGTTTCTGTCTGTCCTATGATGGGCAAGCTACTGTGCTCAGGGGAGGGGAGAGGTTCAGAGGAGAGAGGTGAGAAGTTGAGATGAGAGGCATTTGGACTCCCTTTTCCCAACAGGGCACAGGAAGGGTGGAGGGGGTGACTGGTGATTTGGATTTGCAGGGGAGGAAGACTTGGGTGGGGGGTCTCTTGACCCAAACTGGCAGGCATGAAGCCCTCACCTGGAAAGACCCAGTGTCAATCTTTGCTAAGCGAGACAAAGAGCTGAGAAGCAGCAGGCTGCCCTGATAAGCACCATCTGCATCTGCTGTTGATCTGCTGGCAGCAGCCTCCAGCTCACTGGCAAGAGATTTTGTTTCATTGTATCTGTGAAAATATCATAAGAAAAGGGCATTAAGCCCCATGCCTCAGGGTATCAGCATACAATGCACCAGGTGCTCCTCAGGAATGATGGACAAGGCCACGCGTTTCCCTGTCCTGGCTCCTCAGGACCTCCATCTCTGCCAGGCACCACAGAGATTTACCACCGCCTCCGTCTCTTCAGCTAGGAAAGGAGAAGCAATGGCCATGTCCCTGCATGTCCTGTGGCCCTCTCAAGCCCAGGCTCACCTCAAAGCTGAGCTTTTCAAGAGTGACCCAAATGGGAACTGATTTTCAGAGTTGTTCCTATAAAGAAGGCCCCTTTCAAAGTGTCTTTAGCTGGGCATCGCCCAGCATCAGTAATGACTATCCTGGCTGCACTTTTGTGATTGTTGCCCTCTAAGTCACTCTCCTCAGGCCCTTACTTTATGTATGGTTGGGTGTTACCCTAGTGCTGCACAGTCCCAGTCCTGGAGCATGACCACACTGTGCTGGGCCCCATATGAACACAGGGTGAAGGTTTAGCCCCTGCCTCAGAGCTCACAGCCACTCTCTTCTGCAGTCCTCTCATTGCCACCACCAGTCTTAGCATGTCTGTGACTTTCTGGGCCAAATTTATATTTGGTGTAAATCCAATGACACCAATGGATTTATACAGAGGGTGAACTGGGCCCCACACACTTAAGTTTCTGCAGCTTTCAAAGGAAATTGTATCCTGGTGAGACCACAAGACAGAGGTGGGTTCCTTAGTGCACTTCTTCACAGACCTTCTTCTCTCACCCTCCCACCATCATGGAGATGTGCATGGAAGTTTTGTGTGCACCTACTTCCTGAGCAGCCCTTGCATGGAGTTTGCCAGGATGCCTCCTCCACTCACAGCTGAGCGCACCAGCTCCAGGGCCTGGTCAGAGTCATCCTTTGCTGCTTTGGCTGCCTGCTCAATGGCATTTGCTGCTTGCATGTGGCTGTAAAACAGAATAGTTCCCTGAGAAACTAGGCCTGCAGACACTGCCTTGTTTCCTTCAACTTTTTTCCTTATATAGTTTTATTCAGAAAGATCAACATCAGACCAGGTCCTTATGCAAAAGCGTCATGTCCCTCCTATGGGACATGTTGGCAAGAGGCAGTCACAGCCTGGAGCATACCAGCGCCGCAACGATCAACTCACCTGTTTGCTAATCTTAGAGCCTCCTGGGCCAGGATCAAAAATCTACTTGAGCCTCCAGGGAGATTGGAAGATGAAATATACTGAGGAGAGAGAAAGATACAGGTCAGTGCTATTCTCATCTTTCTCATGCTGACAAACCCCGACTGAAGAGAAGACAGAGCTCCTTATCCAGACACACTATGTGTCCCCCTCTGCTTTACAGCATTCATCTGCACAGGTAGAGTCCCAGTCACAGAGCAAGGCACTGAGCAAAGCTCTGCCACAGTTGTCTGATAACCCCAGCGGGGGCCAATGGGTGGATCTCTACCAACTCTGCTGAAAGTGGCTGTACAAGATTATCCATTGAAAAAAGTGACTGGCAGGTGCTGGTGGGGGAGGAAAGGAGTAGGGAGGAGGCAGATGGGTACTTGATGGAAAGCATCAAGTGTTTCCACCAAACCCCAGGCAAAAGTCAGTAGGGAAAACAAGGGAAGAGGACTCAGAAGCAGAACTCACTGGGCACTGCTGTAGTGGCAAAGCTGTGTTTAACATGTGAGGGCTGGGCACTGGTCTAGAGCAGCAGAGCTGGAAAATACTTACCACTCCACTCAGGGTCACTTTGGTTTGCTCTAGGGTCACCTGGGCTCTCTCAAGCAGCCTCTGGATATCCCGCACCTGCCTCTGGTACTGGCTCCCCAGAACTTTCATTCTCTCCAAGGTCACCTTGATGTCATCCAGGCGCCTCTGGTAACCAGCCTCCTGTCCCTTCATTTTGGACACTTGGCCCTCCAAGGACTTGTCAGAGGCTGGCAAGACAAAGAACATTTCCAGGGTTGAGGGACACGGTGATGTGAAGCCAGAACAAAGCAGAAGGGGACAGACTGCTGACAGGAGAGAGAAACAGCACCGAGACAACACAAATACCCAGCCATGCTCGTCCCATCTCGAGGCTGCACCAGCAGTGAGGGATGAGCCGCCCTGCGCGCACGCCTCCCCCCCACCCCCGTCAGAAGTCCATCTCCTTGCAGCATGTTGCTGAAGAGCTGCTGCACTTGCCCCCTCCCTCCATCCCTGCGCCAAACGCACACCACGATCAAAAAGGGAGCAAACTCATCTAACCTTGCAAGCTCAGGGCTTCCCTCAGGATGGCACGAAGAGTCTCCTCAATCAGCTGCATTTTCCCCTCTAGCTCCCCATTGTTCGCTGCCCCCTGGCCAAAATGTCCATGAGAGAAAAGCACCTCCAAAGCCTGCAGCTGCTGGAGGTACTGATCCACCTGAAAACAAGGCATGTGACACAGTCAGTAAGAAGGGAAGGCTTGATCTCAGCAGGA